GCTCTTCTCCTAATCGAAAATGGACACCAGTGGAAGTAGAGGTTTGTGGTAGTGTGATATTCCAGGCATCTTCGCGGGTATGTGACAAGACGATAGTATTATAATTTGCCATGCTAGCGGTCGTGGCCAGGGATTTCGACAGCCGCGTGCCGCAACAGGATAGTTTGCACCCAGATACTATCCGATTGCGGCACGCGTCTTCCTTTGTTGCACGGAAATAGGACATGTGGATTTTGGTTGCAGTATCGATCGCGATAACAGTTTACGTATCGTTCCAATGATTTCATATTCTCGATATCTTTCTACCCCTTTCGCATCAAGAAAGCAGTTCATGGTATTGTAAAAAATTCTAGTGTTTTATTCCATGTTCCTCAATAGTGATTTGAAATCAGTTTGTTCTTCAGTAGTTGTAGCACACCCTCGTAGGGTCTGCATAAATAAATAAATGAACAAATAAATATCAGCTCTTTTCCCTCACTCTTACCATGCAGTGGTAAGAGCTGGAGGCATACCCCCCACCCCATCAAAGGGGTTCTAGAAAAAACACTGGAGTCAGGATCAAGGTGTGGGCGGCCTGTTGAGCGAGCATTGTACATTTCCTGCGACCGCCCTACCCCCCCCCCTACATCTTCAGTTGATCCACATCTAAGATAATCGCACATGCATCTTTCACAGAAGGAAAAGTAACAAAGTCATACCGTTCAAAGATACGCCGTCAGCTGACCACTTTGCAACCTGCCAGACAGCATTCTTCGCGCCCATATCATTAAGGGCTATGAAGCGAGGTGCCTTCTTTCGGTGGCATATTAGAAGATGCTGTTTTCCTACAGCAAAGCATTTAGCAGTACATGGTAGAGGAACCTGAAGAAACTCGTGGTCTGTGAATGAGAATTATCTACTACAAATTTGTAAGGCATTTTATATGTTCTAGTCGGCTCGCCGGCTGACGCCGGCGCGCCTCACTCTGTGATGCGACCAGGCTTCCCATGGTGGGCGCCCCTTTTTTATTTCATATGCTTTATTATTCAACTAATACACGGCTTTTCTGTCACCTGTATTCACGTCAATGCTCCTTAACCATAGCATCACACCAGCTACTTTCAAGA